TTTCCGCTACTTGTACATGAAGAATGTCGATACAAAATGGAGGAAGCGAACCAGGAAATTGACTGGTAAATACATAGAAAACAGCAGGTGGCCAACCCAAAAAGAACTATCGGTTAAGAAGACAGTGAAGGAAACGGAGACTGACACGTGGAGAATGGGCATGATTAAGAAGTCCGCACTAGAGATCTATCCAACTTTTAAGCAGGAAATTGCCAAGGAAAGGATCTATGATAATACTCGGGGCAGTTCTCTACTGTTTGAGGCCAGGACGGGAAAACTGCGAACCAAGAATATCGGGCCAAATACGAAGGGGTAGACATAGTATGCTGTGCGTGTGGAGAGGAAGAAGAAACTGCCGAACACTTGATAATGTTCCGTAAAGGGGCTTCACCCTGTAGTTCAGGATGATGGCGCAGAGTTTTCCCAAGCACTGGGGTTCAGGGACAGGAAGGGCAAAATAAACTTTAAGCGGGTAGACTTAACTAGAAGGAGGTTATCTGATTGGTGGCTAAAGTCAAGGCACGAGTGAAAATTAAACTTTTCACTGCAAAGTACAAATCCTCAAACTCACTTTTTGACCGACCGACCGACCGACCGACCGACCGACCGACCGACCGACCGACCGACCGACCGACCGACCGACCGACCGACCGACCGACCGACCGACCGACCGACCGACCGACCGACCGACCGACCGACCGACCGACCGACCGACCGACCGACCGACCGACCGACCGACCGACCGACCCGCCGACCGACCGACCGACCGACCGACCGACCGACCGACCGACCGACCGACCGACCGACCGACCGACCGACCGACCGACCGACCGACCGACCGACCGACCGACCGACCGACCGAGCCGACCGACCGACCGACCGCCGACCGACCGACCGACCGACCGACCGACCGACCGACCGACCGACCGACCGACCGACCGACCGACCGACCGACCGACCGACCGACCGACCGACCGACCGACCGACCGACCGACCGACCGACCGCCGACCGACCGACCGACCGACCGACCGACCGACCGACCGACCGACCGACCGACCGACCGCCGACCGACCGACCGACCGACCGACCGACCACCGACCGACCGACCGCCGACCGACCGACCGACCGACCGACCGACCGAGCCGACCGACCGACCGACCGACCGACCGACCGACCGACCCGACCGACCGACCGACCGACCGACCGACCGACCGACCGACCGACCGACCGACCGACCGACCGACCGACCCGACCGACGACCGACCGACCCGACCGACCGACCGACCCGACCGACCGACCGACCGACCGACCGACCGACCGACCCCGACCGACCGACCCGACCGACCGACGACCGACCGACCGACCGACCGACCGACGACGACCGACCGACCGACCGACGCCGACCGACCGACCGACCCGACCGAACCGACCCGACCGACCGACCGCCGACCGACCCGACCGACCGACCGACCGAGCCGACCGACCGACCGACCGACCGCCGACGACCGACCGACCGACCGACCGACCGACCGCCGCCGACCGACCGACCGACCGACCGACCGACCGACCGCCGACCGACCGACCGACCGCCGACCGACCGACCGACCGACCGACCGACCGACCGACCGCCGACCGACCGACCGACCGACCGACCGACCGCCGACCGACCGACCGACGCGACCGACCGACCGACCGACCGACCGACCGACCGGACCGACCGACCGACCGACCGACCGACCGACCGACCGACCGGACCGACCGACCGACCGACCGACCGACCGACCGACCGACCTACCGACCGACCGACCGCCGACCGACCGACCGACCGACCGACCGACCGAACCGACCGACCGACCGACCGCCGACCGACCGACCGACCGACCGACCGACCGCCGACCGACCGACGACCGACCGACCGACCGACCGACCCGACCGACCGAGACCGACCGACCGACCGACCCGACCGAACCGACCGACCGACCTACCGACCGACCGACCGACCGACCGACCGACCGACCGACCGCCGACCGACCGACCGACCCCCCCCCGACCGAACCGACCGACCGACCGCCCGACCGACCGACCGACCGACCGACCGCCGACCGACGACCGACCGACCGACCGACCGACCGACCCGACCGACCGACCGACCGACCGACGACCGACCGACCGACCGACCGACCGACCGACCGACCGACCGACCTTCCATCCATCCATCCATCACTTCATTTCACCAGGAAGGTGAAACGAATTTTTTGAAACACTTCTACACAGTTTTCAGTGTAGATATTTTGGAATCGGATAGAAAAGGGTTTCACAAACTGAAGACTTGATTTTCACAAAAATTGATTTTTTTAGTATTTTTCGCGGTACTAAAACCACGTCCCCCCTTAAGGGAGGACGCGGCTTTGGGATCGTTTACAAACAACAAGCGAGCAAAAAGCAAATGTTTGAAGGTCGTTTTGAGGCCCTTGATTGGCCGTGGCTGCCATGTTGCCTCTGCTCGCCTCGCCATTGGCCCGATGCTCGCTCCGGGAGATCGTCTGCTGCTTGTGCGTCGCGAGGACATGGCTCTCGAAAATCGCCACTTCTTCATGAAGTGTTCACGGCTTGACTATCACTTAAGAGATAACTACGCTTTAGTTACGAGCAGTAAGCGAATGTGCGATCAGGTTACTACGAGCGGGAGCGCAGTCTATGAGCGCCGCGCGTCATCGGAGTCGTCTTTAGCCCTAACTCCGCCAACAGCGAGACTGCAGGCAGGAACGATGCGCTAGCGCGTTCGTGGCGACGTGCTTCTTCACAAGCAATGAAGCTGAAAGTGGCGGCACGATCCGATTACTACGAGTGGCCGCCCCAGATGCACGATCAGATTACTACGAGTGGCACGCGGCGGTCTACGAGTGCAGCGCGTCATCGGAGTCGGCTTTAGGCCTAACTCTGCTGACAGAGAGACTGCGGGCAGGAACGACGCGCAAGTGCACTCTTGGCGACGTGCTTCTTCGCAAGGAATGTACCACATCACTCGCTAGCTCCTCTGAATCACGTACGGGCATTTTACGCATCCGCAGCGGACAACACAATCAAGCTCTTCACCCCCCCCACCCCCCACCCCCTTCACTGCCAAGGATCGCTCAGAACAGGGGCTAGCAGTTCTGCGTGTCGTCATTCGAAAATGCAATGCCAAGTGCAATGTGTGCCGATTTTTTGTCTTCGTAGTTGCACAATTCGTGCATCGTCATCGAACGCCGCCGGCAAGTGCGCCGGCTGCACTGTCCACGCGGCCGCGCACCCCACGGTCATATGCAGTGCTGTCAATAAGCTTTTGTGATGGAATTCAGAGTGCTTGGAGCCATGCTTGATATCGCCACGTGCATATATGAATGTTCCGAGTTTAATGAATTGCTGTAGATTGTTTCCGCGACCGGCTGTATGATGATGCGTTTCACAGCTTGAGCGGCGAAAGAGCATGTATGAATCAGGGGCACGAATTTTTATATGCCCGTTTCGTGTCATTAATTATACTGCTAGAAATTCCTGTGCTACCAGTCTTCTGCCCATAACTTTGTTATTTAGAAAGAAGGCATAGGCCGTCATGGTGTGATCCATTTTTCTGATGCAATAAACCTCTCTCCAAATAAAGAAAAGTTCAGTGAATATTTGCAATCAAGTACTTAATTACGCTAATTACAACTTCAGTGCAAAAAATATGTGCAATAATTTCAGTATATGGTTTTATTCAGTTCCAATCTTTTCTGTCATGCCTATCACACCACTCCTTCATACAAAGAACTTGGTTTGAAATCCTTACTTGTTCTTTGTAAATCATGAAAAGAAGTCAAATATCACAAGACAAACCTGAGATCACAATTTTTAGGTGTCTTAGAGACGCAAAGAAAAATTGAAACTTTAAACGCAGTTTTCTCAATACTGTCTTTTTTTTACATTATGCTCAGTCCCTCCCCATGGTTCAATAAAGAAATAATTTTGTTTCTCGTGATGTATTTGTGGTATCGCTTCAAAATTTTTACGGAAGCACTGTGAGGTCATTCTTAGTGTCTGTGCCAAGTTTCATCAATATCGAACGAGAAACAAAAAAGTTCATTGAAAAAAGCTTGTCGAAAACTTTGACAGGCTTTTTCTCACAAGTATGTTTTGGACATTGTGCATAGCTCGTTGAAAGAGCAGCATGGAAATGACTGGACTGATTTTGATTCTGTTTTTTTTTCCTGAATCCTTGAACACTGCTTGTGGGTACAGCAATCTTCAATTTCTGTTTTATGGGCCTGTTATTTTTCTAGACGATGATTTGTCCGTGCCACTGTTTCTGACAATGTGAGTCGGCAGCCATGATGAACTCTAAAAAAAAAAGAGAACCTATTAAAAAATTCTGGGAGTGCCATACCCGGTAGATTTCTTTTGAGTAAAGATCAACATCATTTGCAGCTTCCTGGCATGTTTTGTTGTAGCGCTAGGCTTTCAACGAGCAGACCATGTAATTGGATCGTGTAGCATTATGTAACTTTAGAACTACTGAAGCTATCAAGATGAAACTGCATATTTCCCTATTCGAGACACTTATGAGTATGCATACCAAATTTCACTGCTGTAGGTCAACAAATAAAAAAAGTTTTTTTTTCAATGCCACCTCCCCTCTTAAGTGCCTGACAAGGATTGAGAAAGCAAGCCAAAGGATTTTGCTTTGCTGAATCTTTCCCTGTTTGTACTGTGTTATTTTATAATAATGAAATTCTAGAGATAGCGAAACTTTTTCTTTGTTTCCCCACTGATTTCACAACTGTATATATTAGTGCAAAGGCCAATATTAGCTACAAAAAAAGTATAGTTACAGCAAATGATTCAGGCTATGAAAACAAAGTCCAGATATTTGACAGGAGTGCTTCGTAGCAATGTCTTGAAGAGACTCGAGTTTCCCCTAAGACAACCCAATTGATGAATAAATCAATGAATGCAGCATCCTTTTCTTTTCTCACAATACCTGCCAGTGTTGAGTCATGGCGTGCCAGACACCCACTTTGCCCAGGTGACTCAGAGCAACCAACTGGCTTCCAATGAAGAACAGGCTGTCCACAGCAACGCTCAGGTGGAACACACCTGAGCACAAAGAACAAAAGCATACCACCTGAAAACTTCGAAGTATGGGAAAGGGCAAAAAAGACTGCTCATCTCATAACACCCTCTCATAGTGGCTCTACTACAGTAAAAAATGCACTTTGAGGGAAACAGCGCAAAAAACGGGAAGGAGAAATATTGAACTCATGAAACAAGCGCTGACGAACAACTGTGTGTAAGTTTATTACACCTGGAAATATATAGCTAAAAACAAGAACAAAAACAAAAACCATTACGTGCACATAAGACCGAAAGGCAAAAACTAATCTGCTACGAGTCGAAATGTACAGGTAATCTACCCAAAACATTATATATATTTTTTTTTTTCGAGGAGAAAGACAAGGCTTACTGACGCACAAGTTTCCTTTCGTCTCGATACGAAAAGCCTCATCAATTTCGCGCTCTGCCTTGATACGATATCGTGAGAGTACCTTGCATTCATGAAAGAGCGGGGCGCATGAATGCAAGATTTTCTCAAAATATTGTTACGTCTACGAGAGGGGTTTATTCAGAGCCGATGTAACGGTCAACTGGATGGTATACAGCAGTGAACGCGCACCAGCGAGCTCTTGCCATCAACCGAACGTTCTCTTCTTCTGCCACCACCCTGTTCCCCGCTACACAGGTGCACATACCTAAATTACACATGTGGTAACATTTCCTTCCGCGCAGACGAAGCCCACTGGGCGCGTCAAACAGTCTCTCGAGGAATAAAGCGCTTCAAACGTGCAACATGAGCAAGTTCAGTTTTTGCAGACCATCGGCCGTTCGAATGGAGACGCGCTATGCGGTAAACTAAATCACTGATACGGTCTAGAACAAGATAAGGCCCCGCATAGTGCGCTCGCAGTTTCTCGCTCAAATCGCGTTTTCTAGTTGGTGTCCACAGCAACACTAGGTCGCCGCGATTGTACGTCACGTGTCGGCGTCAGTGGTCAAAATGTGCCTTCGAGCGGTCTTGCGAAGCAAGATTGCGCAAATAAGCAGGGCGTCTAGCTTCTTCTGCTCGAATGTGCAGGGATCATGGTGGTCCAAACACGGGAATATGGTATTCAGGGGATGACGAGGTGGTCGAGCATATAGAAGAAAGAAAGGACTGTAGCCGGTAGTTTCATGCTGTGCAGTGTTGAATGCATATGTGATAAAAGGTAGAATACTGTCCCAGTCCTTGTGATCTGATGCGACATACATAGACAGCATGTTCGAGAAAGTTCTGTTCGTTCAGTTAGACCGTTGGTTTGGAGATGATATGGTGTAGAGTGCCGGAAATTTGAGGCACAAATACGAAGCATCTCTTTCACTAAGTCTGCTGTGAATTGTCGGCCACTGTCCCTGATTACAATTTTGGGTGGTCCATGCCGAAAAATTACGAAACGTAGCATGAAGGAAGACACATCGGCTGCAGTTGCCGATGGTATGGCAGCTGTCTCGCAGTATCGTGTTAAATGGTCGGTGCAGATGACTATCCAGCGCTTTTCATCAGAAGACCGAAGAAAGGGCCCAAGGAGGTCAATCCCGACTTGCTCGAATGAAGTTCTAGGGGGCGACACCGGATGTAATCGCCTTAAAGGAGCACTTGTTGGGCGCTTATGACGTTGATACTCGTTACAGTTAAACACGTACTGTTCCTTCGTCTGGAGCATTTTGGGCCAGTACAATCTTACTTGAAGACGGCAAAGAGTTTTCGCTGTGCCTAGATGACCGGATGTTGGGTCATCATTGTTATGCCAGCGAGTCCTCGTCAAACGTCCGTGCCTCTGAAAAAGGCAATCTGGGTCAAGGCCAGCCCGCAGTCCGCCTGGCGCGATCAACTCGACGGCGTGAACACGCGCGGCGCCTCTCTGGCCCACGTGCATTGAGTCAGCTGCGCACGTGACAGCGAGCCGGCGTCCTCGTGTCTGGTGGTCTGACGCATGGCGCGGCGACCCCATTGGAGGAGTCTGCCCTGACGACCAGCGGCGCTTCTGATTGGACATTTTGGTTGGACCCGGTGCAAATAAAAGAAGCCCTGCGGCGTGTCGCGAGCAGCGGTCTTAGGCGAAAAGTTGACCTATGTATTAGAGAGGAGAGCTCGGCTCTTCGAGTCTCTGTCGGCCCCAGTGCCGAAATTGTAACGCCTCTGTATATATGCTGTACATAAACCTTGTTTAACTCACCATCGTCTCGTCCGCTCGTCTTATCAGCTCTGCGCAGAAGCAGTCACGAGCTGAGAAACATACGCTACCAAACGGCTGGTGACCTTCCCGGCGGAGTTGAAGGCAGTGGCGCCTTCGGGGCCGTGTCGGCGTCCCCGTCTTTCGCAACAGTGGTGGCTTCGGCGGGATCGGTCCGTCTTTCGCAACAGTGGAGGTCAGCGGTGGGATTCGGACGTGGCTTCGCAACAGTGGTGGCAGCGGTGGGATCGGCCGGCGTCAGCGACATCGATGCGGTGAGTGCCTGATGTTTTCCCCTCAGTTCACCAGACTACTCTAGCTCAGGTTGTAGTAGTTTAGAGAAGGGCTGTGTGAAGCATTAGAGTGAGCTTTGATCGTTTCAAGCAAAGTCGAAGTGCTTTGAAACCAAAGTTAATGCAGAGGGGGTAAACACGGGAGAGTGAAAAATTGCTTGCGCGTCTTGCTAGTTGACTTATAGTGGGTACGGCAAGTAAATTGTTAACAGGGGCAAACAGCAAGAGGCTAGTGTGAACGATGGAGAACCTTAAAGTGAAGGAACTCATCGAAATTTGTGAGGAACTCGGCATTACTTTGGGCCGTGCGAAACGAAAGCAAGCGATCCTTGAGATCATGAAGGATGAGGGAGTGTCGGCTGAGGAAGTCGATGAGGCCTGGGTGGATATCAAAGCACGCCGCGAGGAGGCTGAAAAGCGAGAAGCTCGCGAACGTGAAGAAGCTGAAAGGCGAAAAGCTCACGAACGTGAAGAAAGGCGAGAAGCTCGCGAACGTGAAGAAGCTGAAAGGCGAGAAGCTCGCGAACGTGAAGAGGCTGAAAGGCGAGAAGCTCGCGAACGTGAAGAAGCTGAAAGGAGAGAACATCGCGAGCGCGAGGAGGCCGAGAGACAGGAGCGCCTCGAGATGAAACGAATAGAATTGGCAACCCTACAGTGTTCGCAGGCGCCTAGCGCAGCTTCTCCGACGATTCAGGTCAGCGGTATTAGAATTCGGGATCAACTGCCACCGTTCGTAGTAGGCGAGGACATGGCGAAGTATCTCGTCAAGTTTGAACACGTCTGTGAGCGAAATGCTTTGGAGCAGTCTCTTTGGGCGCGGAACCTGCTAGCTCTTCTTCCCGGAGAAGTGTCCGACGCGATAACTTGCTTGTCGAGGGAAGCGTTTGAGAGCTATGACGAGGTTAAGGAAGTGCTCTTGAGACGTTATAAGTTGCCACCCGAGGCTTTCAGGCAAAGGTTCCGGTATGCTAAAAAGGGGAATGAGTCACACGTTGACTTCGCGTTTCGTCTTAAAGCCGATTTGATTGAATGGCTCAAGGGCGAAGGTGTTTATGACGACCGCGATAAAGTGGTGGAATGCGTTGCATTGGAGCAATTCTACCGCTGCATCGAGGAGGATGTCAAACTTTGGCTGCAGGACAAACTTGGTGAAGTACAGCTAAACAAGGCAGCAGAGTTAGCTGAGGAGTATTATACTCGCCGAAAGTTGCATAGCAGGGCAGTGCGCGTTGAAAAGGATGAAAGAAAAGAGGGCTTTTCAAAGAAACCTGATCAACGGAAACCCGCTCCGCACCGTAATTTCAAAAAGGACCCGTCTCTTACAAAGGACACTGTCGAGGAAGGGAAAACAGAAGCGGAAAAATCGAGTGAGGTTTCTAAACAACGCACTGATACCACACGGGCGTTTGAATCACGGAAGCCACTAATCTGCTACAACTGCAAAAAGGAAGGGCACATCGCGATAAACTGTAAGCAAAAGTTTGCTTTTGCAACAATTAGAGAATCGGAAAAGAACATGCGGTTGTTGGAGCCGTATATCCAAGAAATTAGTGTGAATGGGAAAGCGTGTCGAGCACTTAGAGACTCCGCGGCAACCATGGATGTTGTCCATTCTTCATTGGTGTCTCCGGACGACTTTACAGGAGAATGCGCGTGGATCAGGCAAGTCGCCGAGGAGCAGAGTGCTTGTTTACCAATAGCCACGGTTGTCATTGAAGGCCCGTTCGGTAAGCTTCGCACCGAAGCGGCTGTGTCTGCCGCGCTTCCCGATCGTTTTCCTTATCTCTTCTCCAACAACTCAGAGCAGCTTCTCAAAGAGCAGGGTAAATCGTTCTTCCCCAACTTAGCGTACATGGCCCTCACGCGATCGCAAGCGCGGAAGCTCTCGCAAGAGCTTGACCTTGTTCAAAGCGGTGAACTCTCAAGTGACCTTGTCGGCGGGTCGACGGAACCTCAGAGAGGAAACTTTCCGCGTGAGTCATGTGAACAGTCGCGCGAGCGGCCCGTCGCCGGACCGACCAGCGCGGTTTCCGTAGAAAGGGGAGACGACATGGCGCCATTGGATCAGAGGGAGAGGGCTGCAACGCTCTCGCCTGTAGCGGAAAGTTGGAGTGAGCTGTCGAGGGTTGATCGAGAAACGCTCATTCGAGAGCAGCGTGAGGACCTCTCGATTAAAGCGCTAATGGAAAGCGTAAACTTAGAAAAAAAGAAAAAGAATGTTTCTTTTTTTGAGAAAGCGGGGCTTTTGTATCGGAGCTACACAAATGCGCAAGGTCGCAAGTATAAGCAGCTCTTAGTGCCACAAAAGTATCGTCGCCAACTATTGGAACTGGCGCATGAAAACGCATGGGCAGGGCATCTCGGCATAAAAAAAAGCAAGGCTAGAGTTTCCCTTCAGTTTTATTGGCCGAAATGCTGGAAGGATATCGAAGACTTTGTGCGCTCATGCGACACTTGTCAGAGAGCGGGGAAATCCATGGACAAGTGGAAGGCACCCATGAAGCTTGTGCCGATTATCACAGAACCTTTTCGGCGC